GTCAGCCACATGTACCTCTGGGGGATGTACTTTCTGGGGTGGAAGGTGTGGCAGGTGCAAAGGCCCTGAGGTGTGAGGGCACCTCCCTGGTGTGTTGAGGAACAGTGGGGAATGTGCAGAGGCTGCCCTGACCCCTTCCTCTTCTCTTTCCAGGTTGGCTGGTTCCCCTCCAACTATGTGGAGGAGGATTATTCTGAATACTGCTGAGCTTTGGCACACTGGACGAGAGATGAGAAACTCCAGGCTCTGAGCCCAGGATGAGCAGGCAGCAGGGCCAGAGGGGCTGTGACAGGTCCCAGCGGGCTGAGAATCCAGGATGGACTGTGGAGGGCCAGCGTCCAGCTGGCAGGGCTCCTGGGATGATGCCCTGCCATGGTTAATTTATAACACACTGGTTTTCTCTTGGGGCCCCTCAAGAGGGTGGAGCTCAAGGCAACAGCTTTTAATAAAATGATGAAAGGAATGACTGCTGTCATTCAGGAGGACCTGGATGGGAAAGGGTGGGAAAGGACATGGGGGCACAGATAAAAGCCCCCTCCACAATCCCTGCCTTCCAGCTTTATTATCTTGCTTTGCCATATAAGATAAGACCCCAAGAAGGAAATGGGACCCCCACAAGGCAGGAAAGAATTTTACACTCACAGATTCCAGATCACAAAAATGTAACTCTCCTTTGTTTTTTCTCTGCTAGAACTTAACTACTCTCCAATTCTGCTAAGAGGTAGAGACTTCATCTTAGTTTCCCCCCAAGATCAGGTTTAAATTCCAGGCAGTTTGGCACTGGGGTGTTGGGAAGACAGATGTCATGGTTTCTGCTTTGCCTTTGGTTCCTCTCTGTCTCCCACATCCTTCTTGGCACATGCAAGACATCTGGCTGTTTGTCCTGAAATGCTGAGTGGAATGACTGTACCTCTTGGTTTACCTGCAACAGTCCTGGCTGTTTTCCTGGTATAGTTATTAATCACGATCCTTTTCATTTTCCAGAGTGTCCTGGTTTGGGTGATAAATTATATGGTCACTGCCTTAGGTTGGGCTTCTCCAGAAGCAGAGCCTGAGACAAGGATTTGGATGTGCAAAGTTAATCTGGGAGGTGATCCCAAGAAGTAGCCAGAAGGGAGGGAGAAGGGAGAAGGGAAAAGGAAGGAGCCAGTAAAGGGAGCACTGATGAGCAGGTGACAGCTGTGGGCAACAGGGGCTCATTCTTGTTGGGGACCCCTGGAAGTCCACATAGAACATTCCTTGCAGTTGACGTGCAAGGGAGCTAGGGTATGTGTTCACCAACTTCCATCAGTCATTACTTGAGAGCTGCTTGTATGTAGGCAATGCATGCTCTAGTGGTTGGAGAATGACAGGCATTTCTGGAGCTGTTGACCTGTTGGATATTGTCAGTGGGTGCGTGGGGTGCTGACAGGGTCTGCTGCATTATCCCTAAGTACAGAGAAACTGCATGCACACCCCTTTGCAGCCATCCCTACCCAATGGATGCTACCCTATGCAGGGTGTGGGGAGCCTCTGCAGAGCTTGCTGTATCCTGGGGTCCCTAGGGCTCCAGGGAATCTTCTTTTTCTCATATCACCCTGAAGCCCTCTAACTGGGGCATGCAGATGGCATACACGGATGCTTCTCTTGACACCTCTCTTCCCCCCCACCCTGGAGAGCCGTTGACTTATCTTGTTGCAGGAAAGGTTGCTTCAGTCTGATGAATGCTTTTCTACATACACGACCAGATTTTTTTTTCTTTTTACTTAATAGATTTAACTTTTAAAAAATTGTGGCCCTATTTGCACAATATAAAATCCACCGTCCTCACCAGTTTTACATGTATGGTTCAGTAAGTAGTGTGACGTATATTGGTTGTGCAACCAGTCTCCAGAATTTTTCATCTTGCGAAAAAAACACCCTGTCCCCATTAAGCAACAACTCCCTATTCCCTCCTCCCTCCAGCCCCTGGCACCCACTATGGCCAGATTTTTATTGGGGAATCCTTTGGGGCTTAGATTTTTGAGGCTCAAAAGCCAAGATGCAAAATCTCTAAAAAGGCTTTTGAAGTTCAAAAGCCAAAAAGCTGTTTCTTTGGTAACTCTTACAGGTTGTAGAAATACCCTATTGGAGGCAAAAAGATGGTGGCCAGGTCTGGGGAAGGGCCATGAGCTATATGTTACTTTGGGGGAAAAGAGTTAGTACTTCTAAATATTACTCCCCCCCCCAACACACACACACTAATAACAGAGGCAGGCCCATGTCAAGCATGCGCCACAACAGCCTTGGCCAACGCCATCTCACCAACAGCTTCATGGGCTGTAGAGCATCATGGCCATGGCTCCAGGAAGATCCTAAGATCAGCTTTGCTCCTGTAAAATTAGCTGTAACATTTTGAGAAAGTGACTTCACCTCTCTGAACTAGAGAAAGATGAGAAATCCCGCGTCCGAGGGAGCAGAGTTGGCTCGTAACTTAGTGCAAAGCCACCCTCTTAATCATCGCTCCAGCGGCTGATGGGAACTTCCTGGTTCTGTGGTCAGCCCAAGGAAACCAGTGCTCAGACAGCACCTGTGCACACCTGGCCAGGTGCACGGTCTAGACTCCGAAGCCTGGAAGTATTTTCCATGTTTGAAGGACCATGTAGCTGGAAAGGGGATGTTGGAGTCACAGAGGGCAAGGACTATGGAACAAAGCCAGAGTCAACAGGAGAGGCGTTGGTATCATTCAACGTTGATTCATTCACTCATGTTTGTGATAAGCAGTTAATAACACCAGCTGTTACAGGTTGACCTGCATCCCCCTCCAAATTCATGGGTTGAGGTCCTAAACAGGACCACAGAATGTGACTGCATTTGGAGATAAAGTCTTTATAGTGGTGATTAAGTTAAAATAAGGTCATTAGGGTGGGCCCTAATCCAATGCGACTGGTGTCCTTAGAAGTATGGGAACACAGACATTCACAGATCATCTGTGAGCCAAGGAGAGCAGCCTCAGAAAGAACCAACCCAAATGACATTTGATCTTGGACATCTGGCCTCTGTGAGACAATAAGTGTCTGTTGTGTAAGCTGCCCTGTGTGTGGCACTTCGTTACGGCAGCCTGAGCCAACTCATACACCAGCTTTGTGTCGTGTGAATGCATCAGGCACAGACCTGCCTGCCAAGGGCAAAGGATCTAATGGGGACTCTTAACAATCAACTAGGTGATCACGACCTGCAGCGATGAGTTTCAGGTTGAAGGAAGCAAGGGGTTGGGGGAAAAGAGACATACCTAACCCAGTCTTGGGTTGAGGAGATGGTCAGGGAGGGCTTCTTGGAGGAGGAAACATCTAGGGTGGTACCTGAACAATGAGCTGGAGTATTTAAGAAACATGCAGGGACTTTTTTTAGGGAGAGGTGGAAGTGAGGGTTTGTAGGTTCTGGAAACTGCAAGGGGTTCAGTTTTCTTAGAAAGGGAGGGAGAGAGGGGGGCTGGAGTAGTGGTCAGACTGAGCCCAGGTCAGGCCCGGTGCAAGACCTGCCTTCTTATGTGTCCCTCAGAGGGGCCAGGAAGGGAGAGGCTGTGACTGGCATCCTGAAGACACCTGCTGGAGGAGGCTGCTTCTTGCTGGTGTGGTGGAGATGATGAGGGGCCTCAGGGAGCTCTGGCGAGGCCTGCTGATAGTTGGGGAGTTGGGTTCGAGGGCACAGCTGTTACCCCCTCCTCTGGCACAGAGAGTTAAAGGAGCATGTAGCAGCCCCCCAGTGCCCTAACTCAGAAGTTCTCTGATGCTGGCAATCTGTTGCATGTGGCTGCCTGGGTGTGCGCGCGCGCGCGCACACACACACACACACACACACACACACACCCACACCCTGTATTAGCTTGCTTGTACTGCTGTAACAAACGACCATGGACTGGGTGACTTAAACAACAGACATTCACTGTCTCTGTTCTGGAGGCCAGAAGTCCAACATCCAGAGGTTAGTAAGGGGGCGCCTGGGTGGCTCAGTTGGTTGGGCGACTGCCTTCGGCTCAGGTCATGATCCTGGAGTCCCGGGATCGAGTCCCGCGTCGGGCTCCCTGCTCGGCGGGGAGTCTGCTTCTTCCTCTGACCCTCCCCCCTCTCATGTGCGCTCTCTCTCAAATAAATAAATAAAAATCTTTAAAAAAAAAAAAAAGAGGTTAGTAAGGTTGTGCTGGGTCTGGAGATGCCAGAGAAGGATCTGTTCCAGGCGCCTCTCTGAGCTTCTGGTAGTTCCTTCGCTTGTGGCACAGTCCGACGTTCACGTGCTGTCCTCCTGTGTGCGTGTCTGTGTCCCAATTTCTTTCTTTTAAGGACACTCGTCAGACTGGATGAAGGGCCCACCCTACTTCCAGTATGACCCCAATTTAATTCATTATATCCACAAAGGACCTATTTCCAAATAAGGTCACATTCTGAGATACTGGGGACTCAACATGTGGATTTTTGAGGGGAAGCAATTCAATCCGTAACACACACATTATGTGTACAGGAAGGTCCTCTTAAAGGAACCCCAACAACAGGACAAGCACACACACAGATGGTCATGAAGAAACACAGCCCCCAAATACACCCCGTAGAGCCTGGCACGTGGATGCGCAGATGGACACGGACAGACACAGAATGTTTGCCCAGGTACAACTGTAGGCAGGCAGCTCTAGAGACACAAAGATATGGTAATACTCCCCGCGTTGCAACAGACCAACAGACCTCAGACCCAAAATCATCGAAACCAGGCTGAAAACGAATGGAAACTTATAAAAATACCAATACTCTCTTTCTACAGGCAATCACATGCATGTGTGCACACTCATGTGCACGTATGAAGCTGGCTTGCATAGGCATGGAGACATATCGGAGACTCAGCCAGGCCCAGGGACGCACCCAGCACCCTTACAAAGCTACCTCCGCTCACGACAGGTAGTCCGGGAAGTAGACAGTCACACACACCCTCAAATAGACTCGCTCATACGCCCTGTCCTAGGAACTCGTAAACTCGGATGAAGACATCCACACATGAAGTTGGTGGAGGCCGACTTCAAACAGGCAGCCAGGCAGCCCCTGGATCAGACTGAAACGTTCAAAAACACGAAGACACAAACCGGGGACATCGGCGCAGCAGATCGCCCCAAATTAAAGCCAAGCCTGCCCCCTGGTGGGAGGTAGCAGTAGCGCCCCAATCTCTTCTGCGGACCTGGGTCCCCGCTTGGGGAAGAGAGGAGAGAGCAGAGAAAGGAGCGCGCGCGCGTGTGTGTGTGTCTGCACGTGTGTGCTTGTTCACAAACTGTATGAGCCCAGGTTTGGGCACCAGAAAGGGCTCCTGGTGCTTTTGGCTTCGCAGCTGATCATCATCATCACACCGCGCGATGACACCCCTATTCATTCACCCAAAACCACAGGGAAGGACCCATCCAGAGGGGCCCAGGGAGATCTTAATTTCAGGATCTCTCCCAGCTTTCAGAGGCTGGGACAGGGCAAGAGGGAGAAACAGAGTTGAGATCCGGTGTCTTTGAGGGAATAAGTTTATGTTTATACTATTAAGAAGGCAGTGAAACATATTGTGGGTGGACCGGGCTCTATCCAGAGCCTTTTTCTGTGGTCTGAAGGTCCTTCCCATTTCTGTCACCCCTTCCAGGGGCTTGTACTTGGCCTGTTGAGTCAGTACCTTGTATCTTTTGGAAGAGAAATGTTTAATCTAAAGGAATAACTCTCTAATGGTGGAAGTTCAGTGAAGTCAGGCATGAGGCAGATTCTCTTTCTTCTTTTTAAAACTGGTTTGTTGAGGTGTGATCAATACCTAAAAAGCTGTACATGTTGAACGTATATGTCACCATGAGGCTGGGGATACCGTATCTACCTGTGAAATCATCACCAGTATCAAGGACTTTAACATATCTATGACCTCCCAGGGTTTCTTCCTCGGCATTTTCATGGAGGGCCCATCATATTACATGGGGACTATTTATTCAAGGACAGCCTTTCCTCAGGGGCCCAGAACGTTGTGTTTCCTTGGTGTTGGAGATTGGGGTCCCAGGTCACCTAAGATCCATCCCCACCGTGTCCTCAGGCACCAGTCTGAAGGTGTGCGCTGCCTTCTAGTGGCTGATTTGGCTTCAGCACGCACAGGTTTCTGCTTAGACTGTTCTAAAAAGACCAGACTTTAAGGGCAGGCTGGAAGTCAGCCTTATGGGCTTGAGGTTTAAGCTGCAGAAGACGGGAGCGGGGCATGAAGTAAAGGGATTTAATCAGTGGATGCTGGGACAGCACATGCCAATTTCCAGGGTATGAATACATCGGGCATGTCTGATCCCAAATCCTTAGTATCATCTCTCCTTTGTCTCCAGTCTTCCCATTTCTGATCCACTCGGGGAAAAGCACAGGTAGACATCAGACAGGAGAGGCGTCAGGTTGAATCTGTAGGACGACCCACAGGGCCCCATATGATCTGCGTCAACCTTCCAGCCCCGGCCACAGTGGCCTCCACAAGCAGGAAGGGGCAGGAGAAAAAACTGAGCCAAGAGGCGGCCTCAGCTTGAGTTTGGAGGTCAGCTCTGTGGAGAAAAATAATGCTGAGTAGCAGGCCCAGAATGTCTTGCTGGGGGTGGGGGTTGTTCCTGATTGGGTGGCCAGGGAAAGGCTTCCCTCACATCTGTGCTGAGGCTGGAATTCACGGAGAGAGTGCACCATCCAAAATGGGGAGGAAAAATGTATTTCAGGCAGAGGAAATGGCAAGTGCAAAGGCTCTCAAAAGCCCGTTGAGTCAGTGCCCTCCTTAGTGCCAGATTTTCTGGAAGAGAAATGCCTTTTTTTTTTTTAAATGTTCAATTAGCCAACATATAGTTGGTTCTATATCATTATTTTTTGATGTAGAGTTCAACAATTCATTAGTTGCATATAACACCCAGGGCTCATCACATTACTTGCCCTCCTTAGTACCCATCACCAGGCTAACCCATCCCCCCCACCCCCTCCCTTCTGAAACCTTCAGTTTGTTTCCCAGAGTCCAGAGTCTCTCATGGTTTGTCTCCCTCTGATTTCTTCCCATTCAGTTTTCCCTCCCTTCCCCTATGGTTTTCTATGCTATTCCTTATGTTCCACATAGGAGTGAAACCATATGATAATTGTCTTTCTCTGCTTGATTTATTTCACTTAGCATAATTCTCTCCAGTTCCATCCATGTCGATGGGAATGGTGGGTATTCATCCTTTCTGATGGCTGAGTAATATTCCATTGTATACATGGACCACATCTTTATCCATTGGTCTGTTGAAGGGCATCTTGGCTCCAGTAGCCAAACTGTGGACATTGCTGCTATGAACATTGGGGTGCATGTGCCCCTTTTTTTCACTACATCTGTATCTTTGGGGTAAATACCTGGAGAAATGCTTTTATCCAAAGGAATGACTAATAGTGGAATTTCAGGCAATGAAGTCAGGCATGGGACAGGTTTCTCTCTCTCTCTTTTTAACATCACTCTAGTGAGGTCTGAAGAATGAGCTTGGTGAGATCAAGAATTAAAAAAAAATCATAAAAATTAAAAGCCCCTCTAAGAGCTTCCTTTGGTAGCCCCCAATGGCCTGCCAGAAGTCTTTGTGAAAATTAAGAAAAAGTTCCCCCCACCTCAGCAGATGCTGACCCACTCCCAGAGTGTCCAATAGGCACAACCACACAGAATCACTGGTATCTGGAGAGGGACAAAAAAAAAATCCCATTTTATTAAATAAATAAATAAATCAATTAATTAATTTTAAAAAACCCCCATTTTTGCAAGGGTGGTTCAACATTCACAAATCAATCGATGTGATAGAACACATTAATAAGAGAAGAGAGAAGAACCATATGGTCCTCTCAATTGATGCAGAAAAAGCATTTGATAAAATACAGCATCCTTTCCTGATTAAAACTCTTCAGAGTAGGGATAGAGGGAACATTCCTCAAGTTCATAAAATCCATCTATGAAAAACCCACAGCAAATATCATCCTCAATGGGGAAAAGCTGAGAGCCTTTCCCTTAAGATCAGGAACACGTCAAGGATGCCCACTCTCACCACTATTGTCTAACATAGTACTAGAAGTCCTACCAACAGCAATCAGACAACAAAAAGAAATAAAAGGTATTCAAACTGGCAAAGAAGAAGTCAAACTCTCTCTTTTCGCAGATGACATGATATTTTATGTGGAAAACCCAAAAGACTCCATCCCCAAATTACTAGAACTCATACAGCAATTCAGTAATTTGGCAGGATACAAAATCAATGCACAAAAATCAATTGCTTTCTTATACACTAACAACACAACTGTAGAAAGAGAAATTAGAGAAACTATTCTATTTACAGTAGCACCAAAAACCATAAGATACCTCGGAATAAACCTAACCGAAGAGGCAAAGGATCTATGCTCTAGGAACTACAGAACACTCAGAAAAGAAATTGAAAAAGACACAAAGAGATGGAAAAACATTCCATGCTCATGGATTGGAAGAATAAACATTGTTAAAATGTCTATGCTGCCTAGAACAATCTATACCTTCAACACCATGCTGATCAAAATTCCAATGACATTTTTTCAAAGTGCTGGAACAAACAATCCTAAAGTTTGTATGGAATCAGAAAAGACCCCCAAATTGCCAAGGAAGTTTTGAAAAAGAAAAACAAAGCTGGGGGCATCATGTTGCCCGATTTCAAGCTATATTACAAAGCAGTGATCACCAAGACAGCATGGTACTGGCACAAAAACAGACATATAGACAAATGGAACACAATAGAGAGCACACATATGGACCCTCAACTCTATGGTCAAATAATCTTCGACAAAGCAGGAAAAAATATGCAATGGAAAAAAGACAGTCTCTTCAATAAATGGTTCTGGGAAAATTGGACAGCTATATACAGAAGAATGAAACTCGACCATTCTCTAACACCATACACAAAGATAAACTCAAAATGGTTGAAAGATCACAATGTAAGACAGGAATCCATCAAAATCCTGGAGGAGAACATAGGCAGTAACCTCTTCGACATCGGCCGCAACAACTTCTTTCAAAGATACATCTCCAAAAGCTAGTGAAACAAAAGCAAAAATGAACTTTTGGGACTTCATCAAGATAAAAAGCTTCTGCACAGCAAAGAAACAGTCAACAAAACAAAGAGGCAACCCACAGAATGGGAGAAGATATTTGCAAATGACACTACAGATAAAGGGCGGATATCCAAGATCTATAAAGAACTATTTCTATTTCATTGATTTCTGCTCTGATCTTTATTATTTCTCTCCTCCTGCTGGGTTTAGGCTTTATTTGCTGTTCAAAATTAACTTTGAAAGACTAAAGAATCATGGGAAAAAAGCCATGAATTCTCTGTGCAGTATTCCCCTAGCCTGGAGTTCTGCTGTTCTCATTGATCGGTAAACTTGGTTTTGGCTGGCTGTTCTTGCTGATCTTCTGGGGGAGGGGCCTGTTGCTGTGGTTCCCAAATGTCTTTGCTGGGGGCAGAATTGCCCTGCCCTTGCCTGGTCTTGGCTAAGTAATCTGCTCGGGTTTGCTCTCCGGAGCCTTGTTCCTGCAAGCCGTCTGTACAGCTTTGGAGGCAAGAGTGAAAATGGCAGCCTCCCAATCTCTGCCCCAGAGGAGCTGAGAGCTCAGGGCCCCACTCCTCAGTGAGCCCCCAGAGAAAAGCAGTCAATCACTCTCGTGTCCCTGGTCTTCGGCCACACTCTGTGCTCACCCGGCCTGTGACAGAGCGTTTCTATCTCTGGCACCCAACCCTGTGTGGAGTCTCCAAATCCAACAGATCCCTGCGGTGTGCTCCAGAGCCACTCCTCCCAGGGGAAGAAGGGGAGTTCCCCGGATCTGCCGCTTTTTGGGTCCCCGCTGGAGGAGCAGTGGCCCGACTATGCCGCGGATCACGGTTTATGGCAACCCCGAGCTGAGAGCCCAGTCCTCGGCTCTGTCTTTGCAGCCAGCTTCCCTACTCCAATACCTGGGAGCTCTGCCGCACTCAGGCACCCCTGGTCTTCCTGTGACTCCGAGGGTCCTGAGACCACACTGTCCCGCGAGGGTTCCACCCCCCGCTTAGCCACTGGAGCGACGTCCCTCAGCAGAGCAGACTTCTAAAAGTTCCGATTTTGTGCTCCACGGCTCTATCACTTGCCAGAAGTGGCCAAC